ACTCAATGACTAAAGACATTGATCCTATACACGAATTGGTGACCAAAGACATTGACCCAATAAAAGACTCAATAAACAAAGAGACCATCATAAATGATAAGATGAAATTCGACAGTAATGAGCAAACGGTGGTAGAGAACGAAAGTACAAGCAGCCGTTATCCAAAACGGATAAGAAAACAATTTATACCGTTTCAAATCGAGAGCCCAAAAAAGGAGAGAATAGATGTAATAGAAACAATTAGCCTCAAAGGCAATTAAATATATGATGAATTTTAAATATATATATTATTAATTGTGTACGACGATTAATTGTTTGTTTTGTAAAATATATATATACTGCGGTACAAAAGGTAAAAAGTTGTTAAATTTATAATAAAAATTGATTTCATCACAGTTTAATATGTATATTTTTGCCCATTTGCCTTAAAAATTCAAAAATAACGATTATGACAATTGCCACTTTTTTATGGTACATAATCATTGTTTTAAAAAATAACTATGACAAATGCCAGTGCATTATAATTAAAAAAAGCTATAAATAACTTACCTTCCCATAATTTTATAATCTACTTAATGTTATTATTATATTTATTGGAGTCAACCCTATAAGTCTTGGTCGAAAAAAATGATCTGGATAATGGGTCAGGTGAAAAAAAAGCAACCCAAACCATAAATCGTCCTTTAAAAAACGACCTATATTTTGGATCGGATCGAATAAAACGACCACAACTTTGGGTTAAAGTCGTAAAAAACGACCCGTTTGAGTCTGAGTCGAAAAAACGACACAACTATTTGTCTTCTAGTCGACTTAAGTATATAACTCGTATAACGACTCAAGTTGGAAGTAAGTTAAAAATAGAAAAAACAGAAAAATGTTCAAGTCGACTCAAGTTCATAGAACTATTCGTCCTCTAGTCGACACAAGTATATTATATTCCGTATTCACGACTCAAGTTGGAAGTATAAAGTTTAAAATAAAAAAAACAGAACAAATGTTTTATTAATTAATAATAACTAATCAAGTTCATAGAACTATTTGTCCTTTAGTCGACGACTCAAGTTCATAAAACTATTCGTCCTCTAATCGACTCAAGTTTATAAACTTGAGTTCACGACTTGAGTTGGTCAATTTATTCGACTAATGACTAGAGACTCTGAGTCGTAGTGAACTCGACTTTTTAACACTAACTAACAATTCAGTTTTTAGAAGTTTACAAACATTGAAGTTGCTGCAATCGATGACATTGGCTGTAGTTTTGTTAATTTGCTTGGTCGTAAAATTTACGACCAAATTTTGTGCTCAGGCCGACCCGGGGTTCAGACCAGGGGTCCAGACTTACACCTTGGGGTTGGGCTAGGATAAATGAAAAGTAAAAAAAAAATATTTCATTTTCTAATCTTAAATTAAATCTTATTCTTCTTATCTTATTCATTCTAAATTAATAAAGCTTTTTTTATTATTATTTTCTTACCATTTTCTTTCTTTTGATAAAAAATTTATATGGTAAAATAAAAATATATGTAATAAATATTCAAAAAGAGTAGCCCATGCATGACGGAATAAAAATAAAAAAGTAAAATTTTATTTTAACACATATTGATATTGTAATTTAATGTGGAGGACCAATATAAAAATTCAACGTCATTCATGCATGTATAAATAATAAAAAGAAATGTAAATTTATAATTTGTGATAAAATAATGGCCAATAAAAAGTTTTTCTTTATTATATTAAAGTTATATTCCCAATAATATATATGTCATAATTTTTAAAGGGATGTCAACTATCCAGGATCACCACGGGTTTTAAAGGTATAACTAATAAATTTGGGTTTTAAGTAGGTGTATACCGATATCACTTTTTGGAGGCCTATCCGATCCGATATTAAATTGATATCGACCGATTACCGATCCGATATCATATCTAATTTTATGTCATTTATTTAAATATATTATAATGATCAGTTATAGTTTTTAGTCAATTCTATTGCAATTCTAAAAGTATATAAAATATTTTTATTGTTAAATAACTTTTATATAAATAAGTAACATTAATCTATATATAATAAATAATAAACATATATAATATGAAATTTGAATAAAATTTTAAACAATATTTAACAGTTTTGTAAAAAACGATTAAAGCTTGAAAAATTTTAGAAGAAAACTTTAATATTTAAAATAAATTATTTTTTTAATTCTACTATTTTTATTCTTCTATATATAGTTTTTAAAAATAAAACTTCCGTTTGTTTTTTTGAAGTTAAAATTAATTATTTAAATAGAAAAATAATTTTATTATTCAATTTCAAATTTTTTTAATATTTTTGAAGTGGGGGTTATTAAGTTATGAATATGATGTTTAATGAAATATGTTGACGATTTTATCAAAAATAAAACCCCTTATATAAAAATTTTTATTGCAAAAATAAAATAAAATTTACTATTAAAAACTTGAAAGAAATTGTTGAGAAAATTTTTGTTATTTTTTAAAAACTTCCTGTAATTTAACTTAAATATTTATTTTTCAAATGGTTCTTCAAACCAAATAACAAAACTAGATCCATATAATTGAGGTAATTAATTACTACTTTTTTGATTTAATATATTCCACAGCCTCTTTAACTCACATACGGATACGATATGATATATATATCGAAAAGGAAATTCGATCTATATATAATACATATCTTTGAAGTTTGAAAATAGTGATTACTAATTATGTGATTTTATTTTTATATTTTATTTTCTGTTTCAGTTTTAATATGCTTATTATAATTATATTATACATAATAAGAAAAGCTATGACGATGATGATGATATTTACGAATACGAATAAAATTATAATTGAAAACAAATGTGTTTTAGAAATTTTTTTGAAAAACTTCCTTTTCTTCCGAAATCTAAAAAAATGGAAATTAATTTTCATTAAATTTATAATTATAACTGTTTCCATCGTGGATGTTGACGGAAATATTCTTAAAAATATCTAAATTAATCATATTTATGTTGAATTTTTTATGTAAAATAAAATTTTTTATTATATTTATAGAAGAGACGCAGCCACTCGTTAATATCAATCACATCTTTATTTTAGATTTTAAAATCATATAGAAATATATAATTTACTTTTTTTTATCACATAAGAAAATAGGGGATTTTATTAAAAAAATTAGCTACAGATACTTAATTTTATTATCTAGTTGATGAAATTAAATAAATCCGGTCAGAAAGTTCGTATCTAATTCTGAACTAAGATCAGGATGGTATAGAAATAATCTATAAGCAAACCTACATAATAATTCATTTTTATTATTTCCAAGCCCTAAGAGTCCCCGATTAAAAATTTTTTAGTCATAAGCTGAGTTGCTTGCAGGATTTTCCTATTTAAGTTCGATATTATTGATAAATAATTTTAATTAAAATATTTGAAACAACATTATTTATGAGGTTCGACTCGAGTTAATGCTGGCTTATTTCTTATATAAATATTGCTAATTTAGATCGCAGTAATTTTATTAGACCCACCTCGGGTTTGGGATTTACACAACCAAGACCAACCAATTAAACAACACCCATATCGATATTTTGTGTTAATAAAAATATACCTGACCCCCCCCCCCCCCCCAGGACCTATACCCGCCCTGTATGAGTGATCATTATCATTACAAAAAAATATTTTTATTTCCATATAAAAAATATTAATTTTCACCCCCCCCCCCTACCCCATCCACCTCCAAAACCAAGTCATTCATACCCATCAAGATAAAAAATGAATACTTTCAATCTAAAGATATTTAGTTTAGAAGATTATATTTTACCCATATATCGATATTTTGTTTTGATAAATTATTCCTGACCCCCCAAGACCTAGTAGACCCGCCCTGCCCTCTTTCAGTCATTATTATTATTGCAATAAAAAATATTTAATTATTAACTTGTTTATTAAATCGTTACACGACACGACCCCGGGTCTGTGCTCAGAGCTGGTTTGGTCGATTTTTTAGACCCAAACCCCGGGTCTGGTTTTATACAACCAACCAATTAACAACACTAATTGGCTGTAACATTATTGAAAGATATTTTTCTAAATGTCTTTCAATGGCGGACTTAAATGCATGTATAATAGAGATCTGCAAATCCCAACCTGGCTTCGAGCCTATTTAAAAAAAAATATTTCGGTTCTGACTGGGTTTGGCCTAATATTTTATTTTAAAATATCGACAGTTCGGCTTAAATTTTAATATGATATCATTCAATTTTGTAAAATAAATTGATATATTTTAACTTGCAATAAGCAAGGCGCCAAGATTTTTATTTGAAGAATATTTTTTTTATATTTAAAAAAATACTAAATTTTTTGTATTTAAATAAATTTGGACCAGGCCAATTGGTAATTTTTACTTTAGAACAAATAAAAAGATTTCATTTGGGATTGGGCCAAGCAAAAATTTCAGGCCTGACTATAAAATTAGGCTTGATGCAGATCACTAATGTATAATACTTTTTAATACATTTTAATGAATGAATTTTCAGTCTAGGTTAAGTATTGATATCATTAGGCTACACACATGTATAATTTTATACGTTACAGGGACATTAAAGAACTTTGATGGACTAAAGTAAAAATAAATTTGGCTGCCTCATACCCTTAATTTATCTAAGGCCTAGACAAAGGAAGTTCAAAATAAAATTAGCAAGAAAATAAAATTTAAATAGCAAAAATAAAGCAAAAGTGGAAATTAAAATCAATGAACAAAAAATGGTAACCCTTATGATGGTCTAACTTTGGCACCCCAATCCTGCTGCCCACACAGTCCTTATGCATGTGACTACATGATAGATCAGAATCCAGCTGAAATGTCAGAATATTGTTTATTATTTTTTTCATGTTTTAAAAATGTTTTTTTTTATATCCAAATAATTCAATTTTTTGTGTAGAATATATTGAAATTATCCATATTTTCAAAAATAATATTTATGCAATTAGCCCATTTATTAATTAATAAGCCTCATTAAATGGTATGAATATTTATATATTACATTTATTTTTCTATTAAGGTAACTAATAAAAATTAGGTAATGTAACATCTTTTTTCATTTTTTTATTTGTCTTTCGAGGTAGTATTTGTGAATTGGGCTTCATATTGGTAACATGTTTTTCACGATAAATTTTATGCAAGGATGATTTGTATTTGAATATTTGGTGTAAATGGAAATTATCATTAAAGTTGAGTTTGATGCTGGAAGGAGGTTGCAAACCTAAAAAAATTTGACAATTAATATCATTAAAGCTCTCTTGGTTATTGTCTTTAAAGAGAGTATGATTTAAAATATTAATAAAAGGTGCCAACAATTTATTCTCATTTTGAGGATTATTTGGTGTGGGCAATTTTGAGGTTGCATTATTAGAAATTTTTTCATCCACTTTTTGATTTATTTTGACTCTTTTAAATTTTGATTCAATTTTGGGTAAGGGTGTTAATGGCAGGATATATTCCATAAAATCTTGAATATTTGGTTTGGTAGAATGCTATATTATTATTATGATGGCCAAAATATTATAAAAATTTATATTGAATTAAAATAATTTTTCATGCTTAATTTCTAAAACAGATAAATATATTCTCAAATAAAAATTTTATTTTGTATGAACAGTTATAATACCCTTTATCAAAAAGTAATAAAATCATTAATTCGGGTCAACTTAGCTTAGTATGATAAAAACAATTCTAAATAGATGAAATATTTATTAGATTTAATTGTTCTAAGCTTATATAAGCAAATAGAACAATTTTTTTCAACTAAAAGCAAGATTATTGGAAGAAATTTTAAATATGTTGTATAAATGAAGTTATATATGAGAATTAAGGAAGAAAAAATACCATGCCTTTATCCCTATAGATAAGCAAGATCTGATGTTAATTAACTTCCCAATATTATCTTTCAAATTAGGTAATAACAATGCTTTGACATTTCTTATATTACACATATCCCCAATATGATTATACATATAAAAGGAATTCATTGAATGTTCATCACTTAAAAGCACAAATTGAAGCATATTTTTTTCCAAGCATTTGGTGACTTCATTCACTCCAAATATAATGTCTTTGCTATAATATATATTAAAATTTTTATTTAAAAACTAAAAAAAAAACCCTTTACTCTTATCATCAATGTGCTTTTTATTCTTTGTTTTTTTGCAATTCAATTTATTCAACAAACTATTTATAAAAAAAATATTAAAATATAGAATTTACTTGTTGAAATTATTTATAATGTCTATAGCTAGATTGGGGTTAATTTCTGGCCTAAATAATTTTTATTATTAATATTTTATTATAAAATACCATGCAATTGCAAGAGGATTTTGAATAACAAGTTTGCCGGAGTTTTGCATAATAATCAGCTTTTCAAACGAGGAATGAAGGATAAGTAAATTTGTTTTGATAAAATAATATATAAATTGATATACTCAGAGTTAGGCAGTACCGCGAATACTTGTATCTAAGATACAAGATCCTTTTGTATCTTGTACTCAGTATCTTATTGACATTTTTAATAAGATACTAGTATCTGTATCTAAGATCCTTTATTTTGAAAAGAATCTTGTATCTTTTTCATTTTCTTTAAAAAGATACAGATACAGATTCTTTTTAATATTCATGTTTAAAACATTTACATATCACACAATCTAACTTTATTTTCTTCGTGAAATCTTGTATTATTTTCTTTATTTTTTCCTGCTATATTTTAAATATATGGATAACCAAGATTAGTTGGAAATTTTACAGATCGATAGATAGATTAAAAATAACAGCACCAAAACTAAATAAGTAAAGGTTATATTTTATATGTAATATTTTTTAATTTGTAGAATGTATAACATTTATAGTGGTGAAGATGAAATTATGGAGATAGGTTCTCCTGAATCAAATCATCTTAAAATTCTAGATAGAAAATTTTATAAAGTAATTCATGTGAAAAAGGACAAGGTACAAGCTGAATGTCAAAATTGCACAAGTAAAAAAGTTATTAAAGGTTGAACAAACTCCTCTACAAACTTTGTTAAACATATTAAAGTATATTATACATTTGTATTTTATAATTATTAACATAATAATACCTATACTTAAGTCCCTCTTAGATAATTGTTATTAAAAATTTTTTAGAAGATGGTTGATTATCAAATTAAAATTAATTTGGATATATAATTTTTAGAGGTGTACCGATACCACTTTTTGGAGGTCGATCCGATCCGATATCATATATAGTTTTGTATTCTGTAAAAATACCAATGGTTTTAATTTTTAATATACTTTTTATTAGTATAACATCTATAATTTAACTATTCCATAACTTATGTCATTTAAATATATTATAATGATCAGTTATAGTTTATATTCAATTCAATTGCAATTCTAAAAGTATATAAAATATTTTTATTGTTAAATCACTTTTATATAACAAGTAATAACAATAATCTATATACATATTAATTAATAAACAATTATATTATGAAATTTGAAATAAATATTTAAAATAATATTTAACATTAATATAGCGAAGACTTCTTTTTAGTAATACCAATATTTCCAATTTATCAGAGGTCAGCTTGCGGCGATAGTAACTGTCAATATCACCAGCTTCACTCAGATTCTGAAGAGATTATTGCACACTTTTATAAACAGAATGCGCAAAAAAATAACAATATGGTAGAATGTTTATTAATTAAATATTATTATTAAAAAATATACATAAAAATGGATTTCGATTTTATTTATAAAAATAAATGATTTTAGATATAACTATTTTTTTAAATTTTATAACATTTTATTTTTGTTAATGAAGCCATTTTTATATCGGATCAAATTTTATAATATTGACCGATAATTGATATTTTAAAATGGGTGAAATATCGGTTCGATAAAAAATATCGGCACATCCCTAATATATTTTATATTTAATTATTTTAGCAAGTTCTTATTAGAGGAAATATTTAAGCTACAATTGATATATAATATTAGATAATTTTAAAAGGTTCTTAAAAAATAATTATAATAAGGTAGAATTTAACTTTATTAGTTACTTTTATTTATTTATGATATAAGTAAAATTATATTACAGTATTTATCTACAAAATTTAATCTATTTAAAATGCATTAAAGAAAATTGTTATATATTTAATAATTAAATAATATAATGTTGTACATTATTTTCATATTTTTTATATATAATTAATGATTTTGCAAGAAATATATTAAAAAAATTTAAAAAGAGATTTAAATGTATATATATATGATATTACAAATGCAAGATTTAATAAGTCATACTAGAAAATAAAACTAATTTAAAAAATACATAAATATCACAAACAAGTAATGAAAAATACTTATTAAAGATAATGAATAAAATAAAACTAGTATTATTTTTTTTTAGAGATTCCATTTAGCCATATACTCCGAATATAAGCTATAACAACACAAAAAATAACCTGCAAATTCTAATAAATCATTTGATTTAATTTTTTTTCTTATTTGCACATTTTCAACTCCCATTAAATATACTACTCTCCCTTCCCTGTTTAAGCTATTAATGGACAAAAATTAATATTAAAATCCCTGGTTATTATAATTAATTCATCAATAAATATTTTATTAATTATTGAACAATTATTATATGTGTAATACTATGTTCTTCACATAAAAATAATAAAAATTGTATTTTATAAACTATTCTAATTTAATTGGTAATGATAATTTAAAAGTATCTAGTATTTAAGATACTCTAATTTAGTAAAAGATACAAGTATATTTTATCTTGTATCTTTTTGATATTTTGAACAAGATACTAGTATCTGTATCTAAGATACATTTTTTTATAAAGAAGCTGTATCTGTATCTAGATTCTTTTTCCGGATGACCTGCCCAACTCTGGATATACTCTACCATGTCCGATCTCCTCACTTACTTGATATCTCTCAAAGAGGCTATGGTTACTGGTATAAATTAATTAATTATAAGAAGAGGTGGGGTATTATGTTGTTAATATGTTAAATGAGGGGACTAGAGGGGGACGCGGGCCTAATTTTTTATTCACGACCCGCACACTCACGGTGGCAATAAAAAAAATTCACGCCCATTCACGCTTACCACTAAAAAATTGTCGACCCGACACGCCCCCTCACGAAAAGCAATATTTTGATTCAAACCCGTCACGCCCGAAAATTCACGGTGTTTTTAAAATTTTCAGAAATATTGCTATAATTTTACACATTTTTGAATTTATTCTATTTATTTCTCCAATTCATAATCCATAAAAAAAAATACAATTTATAAACGAAATTTATTTAGAAAAAGAAGAATGTTCATCTTTTTTTATTTCAATTGTGTACGACGCTCTAATAAGAGATTTGATACGTGATATACAGCGCATATGCCCTCTAACGTTGAGTATCAACAGAGCTACGCTAGGTTTTCCTCATTCCATCTAATTGGAAACAAAGTTAATTTGGGTAATTAAAAATAAAATATGAGGAGCCCTCCACACGTTTGTGGGCAAGCCGCACGTACTTGTACGCTCAACATTCGAAGTTGTAGACGTCCATAGGCTTAGAAACAAAAGACGCGGGACAAAAAAAGAGCCTATGCCCAAGAACTACAGTTTAAGTTAATTACTTTAAGGGTGGGTTATAGCTTATTTTTAGTTTAAGATTTTTATAGAAATTAAGATGAAATAAAGTACATACCAATCCAGCTTGCTGTCCTAATTTGGAAAAACGTCCCTTAGTTGATTTTGGTCATTAAATATTATTTCATATGAAATATCTTTCCTTCATCCTAAAGAGTTTTTTAATGGACTTTTTGCAGTTATTTAATTTAATAAATTGTTTCATATTTAAATTTAACTCCATTATATTTTTTATGGTATTATAGTACCAGAGGGATTTGTATTTTGTATATTCTTTTTTATTATAAGTGTAAAGCCAAGTAATAGCATCATGAACAAGATTTTGATCAGAGTTTCTTATGATATGGGCCAGGAATTGAATACGGCGTTTCCTCAGGGTGATGTGTATCGGAGTATGCTTAGATGCTCTCCATAAATTATTGTTTGATATAACCTTCGGATAAAAAATACCATTTATGATTCTAAGGCAGTTATTTATAAAGGATTGGAGTCTCCTATTTTCTGTTTTATTAAATTCCCATAAGTCCCCTCCAAAAAGTAATATGGGGATGATTGTAGAATTGAAGATTCTAAGTCTGGTATGAATAGAGATCTCCTTCGTCTTCCATAACTTCATATACTTGTGAAAAGCCCCTTTTGCCTTTTATATTCTGGTTTTCATCTCTTCTTTACAACAGCCCTTGTTATCCAAAAGTACGCCTAGGTATTTTATTTTTCCTACTACCTTAATGATATTGCCATCAATTATAATATTTGGATTCTGGGCAGCACTCGGAGAAGGAAGAATAACTGTTTTATTAAAATTGATTTTTAAACCCATCTTTAGACTTAAGTTTACTAATAGATGTAATATATTTTCCGTTTCTTTAATACTTAAGGACACTACAGCGATGTCATCTGCGTAAGATATTATTCTGTTCTCTAGATGTAACTTTGAGTTGGAGCTTAGATCCATTAAACTTGCAGCTCCTGAAACTTCTTTAATAATTTATGCATTATAATATTGAACAGTAAAGGTGAAAGTACGCATCCTTGTTTTACGCCTTTCTTTATCTTAAAAGGTGGGGGGGGGGGATATTTTATTGTTAATTTTTATACAGCCGGTGAGATTCGTATAATGATTTTTTATTATGTGGATTATGTTTGATTCAATCTCGCATTCCGACAATGTCTTCCAAAGAGCATAAAAATAACCTTTCACTAGAAGCCGAACTTGCAGGAGCTGACAAAATTTTACTCGCTTATTTTCTCAAAAAAGGAAATGAATATTCCTGCTACCAAAACTTCAAATATTTTATTTGAATATTGGAATAGGATTTTATTTGTTTTGTATAGTTAAATAATTTGAATAGTTATATTATTGAAATTTTTGATTATCATTGTATAGTAATTTAATATTAGTTTTATATTTTATTATATGTATATGTATGTGTATGATTATATTTGAATATTTAATTTTTGTTAGATTAAATTATTATATTTCGAACTTCGAATTTAATTTTTGAATATTAGAAAATATATATAAAAAAGCAAATTATTATAAAGTTCATGATTGTGTTTTTTTTGTTTAGATATTGATTTTTAATAATGAATTGAATTAATTAATGGTAATTGAAGTATTAGTAAGTGGACAAATTTGACAATTTGTACAAAATTATTAAAATTTTTATTTTTAGATTTAAATTCTTCAAAATATTACTCTGCTAATAATCTTTGCAATTTCTCTTGGAATATCTAGCAATTTTCTCTTAAGGCATACAATAAATATATTACGATA